CCCACCACCTCACCTCTTTTGCCCCCTCCTCTGGGCTCCTGACTCTTTCTGCAGCCTTTCTACTGCTACTCCTTGGCTCCTTCTTACTGCTGTCTTTCTGGCACACCCCTGATCTTTTGGTAGAAAAGATCTACACCTAGCCTTCTCGGACATGGGCGAAAAATCTCGGAGGGCCCGTGTGCAAGTTGGGCACGTTAAAGATCCCTTGGTGGTCTAAAATCAATAAAAGAGTAGGCTTCGGCCGCCACCCGGGCAAAATTCAAAATTTCCTACCAAGTGAAAATATTAGGTGTGTCCCGCACGCTCATATGACCTTATTATGCATTTGCAAGCGCCGTAAAACACTTTTTTTTTTTAAAACAGTTTTGTGCAAAAATTGGCATTCTGAGGTCTCTCATGGCCACTACGAGACCAAGAACATAATCCTGGTAAACCACGGGATTTTCCGGGTTATTGACACTTGTGGGGTAGTTCGTGAAAATGTGTAAAGTAAATATTAATTTCATCACAGAGATATAATTACTTGTGTAAATAAAAATTTAGAGAGAGAACAATACATGTATAGAGAGAGAGAGAAAGAAAGAGTGAGAGAAAGAAAGAGTGAGAGAGAGAGAGAGAGAGAGAGAGAGAACACACACACACACACAAGAGTCACTCAGTAAATCAGTAAAATACAAGCAGTACGCTTTGTATGGAAAAATTGCCTTCTGTCACTAAAACCACCGCGGAGACTACATTCAAAGTTATTCAGAGTAGGTCACAATATCTCAAATAGAGGAATGAACCATTTAAAAAAATGTAATAATACTACATGTATCGTTGCTCAAGGCAAACAGTTCTCTTGGTATGAAAACATTGCCTTCTATCACAAACATCACCTCGCGAGCTACATTAAAAGTTAGTCTGTGTAGGTCAACTGTCACCTGTCTCACCCAGTGAAGCCAATGTAGTGGTCAGCTTTGGGCAGGAACCAGCTGTTGCTCTTGACAAAGTTGATGAAATCTGCAACAGCCCTGTCTTCACTCACGACCCCGTCCACGGTGTTATTGTCCGTGAAGTTGGAATGTCCCGGCTCCTGGGGACGCGTTGTAGAATTTAATGCATACATACATACAGATTATAGTCAGGAGTCAGGACAGTTCATTATACAGACACCAAGTTAAAGCTGTATAACAGCTGTGTACTATCCACACTCCTATTTATGGATCTGAATGCTGGAGGATTTTTTCATACAACCAGCTTACGCCGAATCCTCCGAATCTTCTGGCCCGACAAGATTTCCAACGCAGATCTTTTACGGAAATGTAGGCAAGAGGACATGATGACCATATTAACAAGAAGATGGAGACGGATTGGGCATGTTCTGAGAAGAGAACCAGACTCTATTGTAAAGATTGGACACCCGAAGGACATTGCAAGAAGGGCAGACCCAAAGTGACCTGGCGACGCACATTAGAGTCTGAAATGAAGTCCTTGAACCGTTCGTGGGGGACGTTGACCAAGATGGCCCAAAACAGACAGAGCTGGAGATCCTTTGTTGCTGCCCTAAACGCCAGATGGCGTGATGGGTTGTAATCAAGTAAGTATACAGATTATACGACATATATTTGCACAGATTTCCGCACTCTTTTAAAAATACTAATCTGTCTCTCTGGCTATATACGTATAGCCCCCCCTCCCCCCCGCTCTCGCTCTCGCTCTTTTTCTCTCTCTCTCTCTCTCTCTCTCTCTCTCTCTCTCTCTCTCTCTATATATATATATATATATATATATATATATATATATATATATATATATATATATATATTATATATATACCTATTTCTCTCGCCCCCTCTCTCCCCAAATGTGTATACTTATAAAAATGCACATACGTAGTATCTATCTATCTATTGATATACATAGAGAGAGAGAGAGAGAGAGAGAGAGAGAGAGAGAGAGAGAGAGAGAGAGAGGGGGGGGGGGGGGGGGGGTGTGTTCATCTCAGTGAAATACGAATGTCTAACAACCTCCATTTTACACACGCGCACACATACGCACACATACACACGCGCGGCGCGCGTGCGCACACACTATCAGAGTATCCCCCAGGCCAACACACACACACACACACACACACACACACATACACACACACACTTACACACACAATTACACACACACATTCATACACACACACACACACACACACACACACACACACACACACACATACACACAAAACTACCACCATAACGATCATACGATCATGAGCTCTGACCTTGATGACGAGCACCCCAACAACGCACAGTCTCACCACCGACTCGGGGAACTCCTCCCTCAAGTTTTGCAGTTTCACATTTGCCTGGGAAGAGAAAGAGGTCAAAAGTAAAGTTTTCCCCGCATTCGATCCAGACATTGAGGATTGCCTTGTCAGTGAGACAACTTCCTGGGCCTTCGGCATATTGTGGTAGGGTGGCCAGTTCCTTTCCACGCCGCCTTTACTTCCCTAACTCGAAGCCAGGCACCTATTACTGCTGGGTGGGCAAGAGGGTGCGAAAACAAATCTGTGTCCGAACGGAGGCTCGAACCTGGACTTTCCGCTTCGGAGACGAGCGCACTAACCGCTCCGCCACCGATTATTATTCAATGCTTTGTTTTATAGCAGAGGATTTTCAGCTCAAGTATGTGAAGTCAGTCAGTCTAGTTTTATGGATGTGAGACATGGAAGGCATCTAAAAAAAACACATAAAATGATTCAGGTTTACTTGAACAAGTGTCTGAGAAAGTTATTAAGGGTCAGGTGGACAGACAGAGTCACAACAACGAAGTATTAAGGAGAACAAGACAGAGCCCAGTTAGCCCTATCCGTACGTCGTGTCTTACCATCCTATCCATACGACGTGGGGAAATCTGTACCACCACTTTTTAAAAGAGGAAATTAACTCGTTAATCCGATCCGTACGCTTTGCATAATAATCTGTCAAAATGATCTTTTGAGAAATACTGAACGTTTCAAAGAGATCGTCGTACTAAAAGTATTCTAAAATGTAAAGAGTATTACCCCGGGGGTACGAAATTATGTGAGCGGGTAAGGTTAGAGATGAAGTGGGAAGAAGGTGGCGGCGATGGATAGGACATACTCCCAAGAAGTCTGGCAGCTGCATAACGAGGAAAGTGTTGGATTGGAATCCACATGGTGAATGATCAAGGGGAAGCGCATGTACACTAGAATCTGTAGAACTGTCACAGAGATTGATGTACAGAAAAGTGGAAACACAATGGAATAAAATTAAGAGGTGAACCCGGAATAGGGATAGTTGGAACTTGTTTGTTCGTGTCCTAATCCTATACCCAGGTGCAGGGTGAGATAAGCAGTGGTGATGATGGTGATGATGATTTGTTTTATACAGCTGGCCGTTGGAGTATGTTCTACTGTACTCGATAAAGACTGAAAACAACGGTGGGTGGTTGGCGGGTGCTCTTGTGGGGTTTACTTCTTCTTTCCTGTCAAACATATATCGTCTTAATCTCTCCTCCTCCTTTTTGTGTTTGGTACTCTCTTGTATAGATCTATCTCTAATCTTCGGCACTTACATGACCTTATTGTGTTGTAAGTGCCGTAATACACTTACTAAAACAAATAAAACAAAACAACCCCCTTACGCAGAAATCAGTTTCAGTGCTAAGACCTGAGTAAGGATTCATGTGAAAGGTTTGAGTTTGAGCTTGGCTCTGGTGGCCATCAGAGAGGCATGACGTCTTGAACAGATGACGCACAAAGGGCTCCATGGGTTCGGCTTAATACCCGTCCGTGAATTACACTAAATCTTTTTTTCTATTAAAGGCTTTCCATGTGTAATCTGTTGAAGTAGCTTCTCTAAACTGTTCCGTGGTGGCTTACTAACTTACTCTCTCCACACTATAATTATCGTTAGGTACATAAGGCAAAGAGCTGTCGACGCCACATTTGCCTGTCCTTGGTCACCTCCTCCCATTTCGGCACATCTAGTGTCATCTAGGCTCTGAGAAATTGCCTCATCCCTGATTGTGTTTCTGTAACTTCCAGACATACAATTAGGGGGCTCTCGTGACCTAGATGTTAAGGTGTTCGCCTCTCATTCAAAGGTCCCGGATTCGAATCCGGGTAGCTTCCGAAAAATGTTCTTCTCTAAAATTGTCTCCTTTCACTTCCTTTCCTATTCTCTAGCAATGCTCTGTGTCTGCTTTCGTATCCTCTTTCTGTACCCACCCTCACCTCCTTTGCCCCTTCCTCTGGGCTCCTGACCTCTGCAGCCTTTCTACTGCTACTCCTTGTCCTCTTCTTACTGCAGTCTTTCAGCCACACCCCTTATTTTCTGGTAGGAAAGATCTTCACCTAGCCTTCAGCGTGCAAGTTGTGCACGTTAAAGACCCCCTTGAGGTCTAAAATCGATCAGAGTAGGCTTCGGCCTCCACCCGGGCAAAATTCCAAATTTCCTACAAACTGATAAAAAAAATTTAACGTGTCTCGCGCGCTCATATGACCTCATGCAGTTGCGAGCGCCGTAAAACACTTACCAAAAGAAAAAAAGAAGAAAAAAGATACAGAACTAAGCCGAGTTAATAGCCGCATTTCTCCAGAAGTGACTAAGGCAATAACAACAGGAGCAAGAAATGAACATTCAGACCACAGCAGTGTCCGCTGAACAGTCATACCAGTAGTGCCAGTAGTAGCATTAAAAGTCAGCCCAAGGGAAAAGTGTGGGAGTATGTGTGTGTGTGTGTGTGTGTGTGTGTGTGTGTGTGTGTGTGTGTTTGTGTGTGTGTATGTGTGTGTGTGTGCGTTGGTATGGGGGTACTCTTTCGGTGAAGGCTTCCTTGGTATTATCGGAGACAAAAAAGTAGTCATCTCCGGTATTTTTTATACTCATAGGTTCAAATTGTCAGTGTCAGACCTTACTAAAACAGTGGAATTAATTAAGATGTGCAAGAAGACAAAGACAACTGCTTCCATGATCTGATAAAACGTATTTATCATTTTGACGAGTACATTTTTTAAATTCCACTAATGAATTCTACATGTCGAAAGCCATCTTCAGATACATGTATATATTAAAATGAAAGCCTAACTGTGACTACAGTCGAACTTGTGTAAGACGGAATCGCAAGGCAGCGGGAAAAAAATTCCGTCTTAGATCTTTTCCGTCATAGACAGGGGAATTTAGAGGGGAGGTGGAGGTTGGGGGCGGGTGCGTCAAAGGCCCAGCCGGTGGGATCAAGGATCACTTGTCCGATCGGCAAGCAGTGGTCAAAACTTCACACCTCTCAGCTGCTATCCTGTCTGATAATGACATGCGTCAGTCTTACGTATCCAATTACCACCAGTGCTTGCCTTTCATAGGACCACTGTTTGACCTATTAAAAACAGAAAGGTTTGAACAGAAAGGTTTGGACAGAAAGGTTTGAACATCTCATTTGCTTCCACCCTTAGCCCCACCCACCATTGCCACCCCTCACTGCCATCGTTGTAACAACGATACGAGGAACTCTTTTCTCGGCTAGTCGTACGATCAGGGCGGCAGGCATTGGTCAATCTAATTTCACACCTCTGGCTTCTGGCTACCATGGAAAGTTTCCGTAGTGGCTCGCTACTCGAGCACTCTCACGGGCAGTCGTGAGATTTCACACCCACACTACACTGACCATTTGCATCGCTCATGGCTCACATGATGGGGTAACATCTTCCCCCAAATTGCACCCCTACTCCCCTTCCTCGCCCAGCGACATGGCCATGGCGTTAAGGGGGGGGGGGGGGGGGGGGAGTCACACAAGAGAGCTAACTTCTTTATTTATGGACCTAGAAACCTTAAATTTTGCATACAACTTCGTCATGATACAGGTATTACGATGAAAAAAAGAATTCCCGGATCCAAGATGACCGCCATTTTTATGGCGGCCATATTGGATTTTCCCATGTTTTCAAATCAATACTCCTCTGAAATTTACTGATAGATTTTATTGTCCTTTGGCACACATGTACCCAAGAGGCATATAAGTTAAACATAGTCAGTTTCTTTCGATATCTTATTTCGTTTTGGAGTTACAGGAAGAAGCGTGCAAATCTTGTCCAAAATGCAGAAAACGGTCAATTTTCCAAATTTTTTAAATCATAAAATGAAAACCAAGATAGATATTAAAAAAACGCTGACTATGTAATGTAACCACTCCTAAGGGCAACAAGTACGCCAAGTGCCACCAAGATACACCTGTAATCTTCAGAGGAGTATCGAAAAATGTGTCAAAAATGTAAAAAAACAAATATTTTTGACAAAAAATGAGATACCTCTCTAATTAATGAAGATAGAATAACAATGTAAGAAGAAAAAATGTTGGGCATCCAACTAGCTACGATTGTGCCAAAGGACAATCAAATCAACAGAGAAATGACTGAGAAAAGGGAAAAAATATTGTAATACCCAATTTGACCCAAATTGACCCAAAATAGGTGGGACCCCCCCCCCCCCTCCTTAAGTTCAGAGCCGGCGGAACCAAACTTGCAAGTTTCGTTTCAAATCAGGGCTGAGCGGGCAAAGCATGTTCCGTCTTAGACTAACTTAGACAGGTGAAACCCTCGGAAGGGAGCGGATTTTTCTTTCCGTTTCCGCGTTGGACAGGTTTCCGTTTTATACAGGAAATTAAAGAGGAATATATCAAGGGGTGGGGGGGGGGGGAGAGATTCCGTTAAGACAGGTTTCCGTCTTACACAGGTTTCCGTTAAGGCAGTTTGACTGTAGTTTGTGAATGAATAGCGTTTTAGGTTTGTTAAAACGCATTTATTTCCAATGTGATTTTATGAAACACATTTTTTTTCTGAGATGATCTGATGGAACGCATTTTTTTCTGCGTATCGACCATCCGTATAATTTGGCAGGTCACAACTTCCCCTTTCCAAAGGTCCGTAGGCTACGTTTTACGGGATCATGGTTATTAAAGAGACGCAGAAAATAAATGCGTTTTATCAGACCATTTTGGGATTAATGCATATAAAATAAAATGCATTTCTACTGTTTTCTATTCCCAACACTCACCGATTCAGCAGCATAGGCAATGTTCAGTTTGATGAGCTCTTCTGTGCCCGCACCTGTCGTTCCAAACTCCGCCTCATACCTGGAATGTTAAAACAACAAACTCTTCGGGATATCCTTGTGGTAGTGTGCACGATTAATGAAAGCATGTTTTTAAGCCAACTTTAATATCTGTGGGGAACTTAGTTTAGTTTCAGTAAAGGTATTACGGCGCTCGCAACTGCATCTGTGGAACTGAGCTTTAACAACACAGTTAACGACGGTACATTGTGCGTTGTATTTAATCAATATTTCAGTTTGAGATTAAAAGAAGCACACTAATAGAAAAACGGCTGTTTTTTGTTTGGGAAAAGTAAGATAGACGCACACACACACACACACATACACAAACACACACACACACACACACACACACACACACACACACACACACACACACACACACAGAGACAGAGACAGAGACAGAGAGACAGAGACAGCGACAGACAGTTAAAAAGCAGACAGAAAAACAATAGCAGGATACGGTAGTCCAGATGTAAAATAACCATCGGCGCCCTCAGGATACGGTAGTCCAGATGTAAAATAACCATCGGCGCCCTCAAACTGCTATCAACTATTTAAGCCCCCCCCCCCCCCCCCCAAAAAAAAAAGAAAGAAAAAAACAACTAAGGCAGAAACAACTCTGTAATAAGGTACCTGAGCAGACTACGTATGATGGATTCCTAACCACATGCGTAAATGTATTCGTAAATATAAGGCTTTAACGCCCTCCCAATATTATTAGGTTATCTCAGAGGCACGACCTCCGACATTAACATAATATACATACATGATCTGACAGGACCAACCCAAATGGGTTGAGAGCTTTGAAAACTCCAAAGAGCGAACCGGGTTCAAGAATGCCCAGTCTGAAATTCGGGCCATCTGTTCCGCAGGCTGGCATGATATCAAATACCTTCCAGCCCCAGCCAGTTTTGTGCACCCCCTACGCCAAGTCCCAGCCAATACAACAGTATTTCAAAATAAGAGGCACACATTCTAAAAAGTGATGTGGTATCTTTGTAATGAGGTTCAGGTAATAACATATAACAATGTGTAAAGGTAAATGAACAAATAATATCAAAATTAGAGTTTAATAAGGTTCACTGCCATTTCGAAAATTGTGCAAATTTGGTACTCCACGAAACTGAAAATTTACGCTCTTGGGATAGTGGGAGATACAAGCGCTGTTGAAAATATTATACGCACATGGGGCTGGAAGGTTTAACTGAGCTAACGGAGTGCCCCCACATCAATAGAGTGTCTATACAATGTACTTTACTGTGTACTCAGGTGCATTACAGTTTAGTGTGAGAGTCTGTGAGTTGGGGCTACTTGGAAGATCTATGGTGAAGCAGTGAGAGGATAATTTTCTTAAGATTTACTTTCAATTCCATATCCAAGGCTAGTAGGAAAAATGTTCTGTGTTCGAGTGATAATTTCGGAGAGATTAATAATTACTTGGATAATAAGATTTAAGTAACGAAAAACGCTTACTTCTGTATTTATTTATTGAAGTTTCTGCACATCTTCCATCCAGGCATCTTAAGAAACAACGTCCTGTGACAAATCGGGAATTGGAGCGGACGTTACTGAGCTTTCATCGCAGTTTCAGTTCCATGCAACAACAATCATGTCCTAGTTGAATAAGAAATTGAGTTTTGAACTTATGATTTGTGAAGCAACGAGTGAAGCAGTTGACCCAATAGAATTATTTACAACGTTGTTAAATCTCGATTTTAGATCTACTCATGCCAGCGCCCACTGCTCTTTCATATCAGTAGAGTCGCGAGAGGGGAGCAGTCTGACAGACGACTTGAGCCTGAAAATTCGATCGATTCAGCGGATTAAAATGTTGGAGGGTTTGTTTTTTTTTGGGGGGGGGGGGGGGTTTGGGGGGGTGTAAGTGTTTTACGGCGCTCGCAACTGCATAAGGTCATATGAGCGCGCAGGACACATTAAACTTTTTCAGATGGTGCAAAAGTTTGAATTTTGCCTGGGAGGCAGCCGAAGCCTACAAAGGGATCTTTAACGTGCGCAACTTGAGCTCAGGACCTCCGAGATTTTTCGCCCTTGTCCGAGAAGGCTAGGTGTAGATCTTTCCTACCAGAAGATCAGGGTGTGGCTGAAAGACAGCAGTAATAAGGAGCCAAGAAGTAGCAGTGGAAAGGCTGCAGAAAGAGTCAGGAGCCCAGAGGAGGGGGCAAAGCTGTTGAGGGGTGGCACCTCTCAGGAAATACGATCTAGTCAATTGTTAACTAAGCATCACAAGTTTTATGGAGCTTTGTGAAAACAACGTGTCTTCAGGCACACAGAGCGCAAATTTAATTACTTAGACTTCTAAGTACTGCCACAAGGGAACTAAAGACTACTGCAGCAATACATTATTGTCTTTAGTTGAGCTTCGTCTTCGAGGGGAGGGGGGGGGGGGGTCATTTTCAATGTTCTATTGACTTGAGGGGTTTTGATGCCGAAATTGATTTTAAGAAAAAAACCCCAAAAAACTCAGTAGAGCCAACTGCCAACTTCTTCCCGAGAAAAGAAACAAAGCTTTAAAACAGCGAGAGTAACACCACCCGAGATTGATAATTAATTAGCGCGTACGCCAACGCTTTTTTTTAAAGCAGAGTTAACAACCTTGTAGTACAATTAGATATTTGACAAGATACATTGCTCTCTATAAATACTAGCTTGCTGTAACATTATAATAGACGTCGCTTCCGGAATTTCTTTAAGACACAAGAATAATTCCAGTATCTCGAATAGGGGATGGAAGAATAATTCTCTCATAGGCCTACGTACACGATCTTTGATCTGAGTGAGATAACACATTGTAACGGAGTTTAACCAACCTAGTTTAACCAACGAACCTGTCGTGGCTTCACTTACCGCTCAAAATCTGCAAAGTCCACCACAAAGAAAAGTTCCACCGTGTTCTCCACAACCACAGCTTGACGTTTGTATCGTCTTTTTCCGGCCTCCTCGCCTTGACAAAACATATTTATTATGCTAATTAAAGTTAATACGACGAAAGAATATTGACTTCCAGGGGGAAAAAATGAGAACAAAAATACAGAAAATGCGTTGAGGGTTGTTGTTGCTGTTGTTGTTAATGGGTTTTTTTTTCCAGTTATCTATCCAAAATCAACAATAACAAAATAATAACAAAACAAGCGAGCAAACAATGTCTACGGTAGGCCTACTCGAAAGAATGATTTAAATTTAAAAAACAACAAACAGACGGATAGTTGGATATACGTGGATATAATAAAAGGGCGATCAGTGCACATTTATACGCCATGGATACGTGAAGGCTGAACATTGGGGGCACGAACATGTTGGTAATTCACAGTACGTGCTTTTTGTGTGGCCCATTCAGTTATAACGTTCAACATGTTGCTTTTTTTCACCATCGGGCAATTTCTTTTTTCCCTTCTGTGTAGTCGAAGAAGCATAGTTGGAAGCCAACAGAAATAATAAAATGGTTCATAAGAAGAATGCTGAAAATAGCATGGACTGACAAAAAAAGATAAACTAAGAAGTGCTGGAAATGGCAAACCTGAAAAGATCACTCATCGAGACAATAAGGATGCAATAGATTAAATTCATGAGGCATGTATACTGAAAAAGAGGGTAGGAACAATTTAAGTATGACCAAAACAACAACAACAACAACAACACAACAACAAACAAACAAACAATCGTAGGGAAGGAAAGCTGTGGACGCCAACACACAAGATTCATAAATAGCCCAAAAACATGGCCATCTAAGTATAACAACACAATGAGCCTCAAGCAATTCACGAGGGCGTCGAATTAAAGAGATAGATGGACGCCCGTAACCACCAATGTCTGCTCCAAACCAAACTCTTGATAACGACGACAAAACCCAAGGTTTATGTTGCAAAAATCAGGTGTTGATTGACTGAAAAAAGAATATTAGTATTGCAGTTGAAAGAGAACATTTGTTGCCACACAATAACATCAAATCATTTTTTTTTAAAAGAACGATTTTGAGCTTATATAGGCAACCCGTACTTCGTGTTTTACTACCGTATCCATACGACGTGAGGAACTCTGTGCAACCACTTCCAAAGAGGAAATTTACTCGTTAATCCGATCCGTACACTTTGCATAGAAGTCTGTCAAAATGATATTTTTGGGAAGTACGGAAAGTTTCAAAGAGATCTTCGTACTAGAAGTATTCTCTAATGTGAAGAATACAACCCCGGGGGTACAAAATGACCCCAGGGCGTACGGCGATTGCAAATCAAACTGGCTAAAGTTCATTGTCGAGATTGTCTCTAATGTATTAGAATGAACTCCAGCAAATATTAAAAGGAAAATCTGCAGCAAAAAAAAAAAGATAATGATGTCAACACAGGCCACACATTGATAGGTTAAAAGATCTTTGAGAAAAACCTTTGGTATCCTCTTCCAAAGAACCCGTTGCCCACGAAGACTCCCACAAGAAGTGATCTAGGTCTCTGTGTTCAACATTGCCGCGCATGGCGGTGTCTACAGGCTGGATGTGGAATGTTTTACCCCCTTTTTGAAAAGATCCAGACTGAAAACAGAAGACATTTGGAGAAAGATAAGTAAAACATTATATTCATCATTTTCCGACTCCTATCTTGTGATCATATTCAATGTGCATTCATATATTAATATTTACAGAACACGTTAAAGGTAATTATGAATTGATAAAATGATTTACGTCTTCATAATCATACAAGTAAACACACACACACGTACACACACTCATACATACACACGCGCGCTCATGTGCTCTTGTGTATTCCTTGAGGAGCAATACGATTTTTAATGCAGGTTTGGGGGTATGTTTAATCGCTACCCTTTTCAAGACTGAAAGGTTATTTCAGAGGCGTGACATCAGCTGAACAAACGATCGTTATAAGGGGAGTTTTAACTGAAAGTCATATTTCACCACTTAGCAAGTTCAAGGCGGTTCCAAAAAAGCAAAAAAAAGGTTGCAGAGTATAAATATCAGTACTAAATGAATTAATGTACTCTAATGGGAAATGATCGCTCAGCAGCACTTATGGATGGGATAGAAACATTCACAGACAGGATGCAGGCAAAGAGATGTGCAGACAAATAGAAAGTTAATAAAAGTCGAACCTGCCTTAACGGAAACCTGCTATTCAGAATCACTCCCT